TAATGAAAATGGAAGAAGACAAAAAGTCTGGTTTCTATGCTCCTACGGACTAACCAAATTTGGGTATTAATTTCATTTTGGTTATTTACACATCTTGTTGGGTTATTTGTTGCATGTTAAAGTTACCCGATTATGTCCATCTATTTGCATTTAAAGATTGATAGGTCTTCTTATCTCATTATTTACACAAAACCTAACTCTAAACAAGCTTTACATTTTGTTATATCAATGTAATGTAGATAAGATACACCAAACGGAGAGTAACTACAAAGCGAAGTAAACCGATTTTCTGTATTCATAAGTTCACCCTAACTATTTTTAGAAATGATCGTTGTCAAAACTTTAGAAATAAAAACATAACAAGTCATTGCCTATTTTTCAATTAAGATTGGCAATTAACTAGAACAAGAAAACTTTTGTTTGGCAATTAAGATTGCCTATTTTTGGTTTTTTTCATTGATTTAAATAAGGGAGAGAACATGAAACAAATGATGATGGATACGAGAAATGGGAAATGGGGAGATTGATTGGTTCCTTAACAAGAAGGAAGACCAATTCTTATTAACTGAAACAAATACTAAAACACAAGTCTTTCACGTCACATACTTCAGTTTGGTATGATGGTTCGGTTTGACCGTGGCTGGTTCGGTTCTGGCATTCCATCAACAACTGACGCATTGTAAAAGCTCTTCCTGCTTACTTCTCTGATGAGTTTGGTCCTCTCTTCTTGCCAAAACCAACAACTAAAGAACAACACAGCCAAATCAAATGAGAATCCAATTGTTATTCATTCGTCTTGCAACTAACTTCTCCAAACTCATGATCACAAACAATTGATAAATGTTCATATAGCATTATTAGCATCTACAAACTGATGAAGTCACACTACGATTCACAAGAAGCAACAGAAGCCATATACTGAAACAGTAATGTCTAAGAACAAATCCAAGAATCTTAAATTGAACATAAGCAAAACCAAATGAGAATCCAAACAAACATCAAATAGGATTTGCCAAAGAACTAAGAGTGGAATTTATATTCTATCGATTGAATTGAACCAATTCTAAGAAAATTCAAATAAACAAGACTTAGTAACACTGAACACATAATAATTGTATTACAGAACAATAGATATATGTTCATATCGCATAATTAGAATAAAATTTTGATGAAAGCAAAATGCAATTAGCGATTTGTATAAAACATTGATACTATTAACGAGCCAAATACTGAAATCAGTAATGTCTAATTACAAATTATACAATCGCTAAAGAGAGACAAAAACGATCAACAAAATCCAAAATTAAAAATCAGAGAGCCATCAATGCCTACCGGTAATATCTGAAAGTTTAAATAACTTACCGGCGGTGACGAATCGGCGGTTGTGTTGCATCCGCTTGTGTGCACGACCACGAGGCTTCTTCTTCTTATCCTGCTTAGCTACTTTTGGTGTCTGACCTCTCACCTTACCGGCACGAGCCAATGAACCGTGAACTTTCCCTGCGATTTCGATTCAAACACAACCAATATTTTTTAAGGAGATTCAATAATCGCGAAGCATAAGGAAACAACAACAGTCGACGAGAATCACCCATTGTTGATAACAGAGATTCTCGATTCCTTCTTCTGGCTACTGCTCTACGAGGAGGTTTTGGGTGGCGACGATGCTCTCAATAGCTTTTTAGGGTTAGGAATTTATATATACGGGCCGTATTGGGTTTCAAAATGGGCCTTAAAAACCAAGACGAAGGTTTTGGGAAATACGGAATATCCATTCGATCTAATCAATCCAATCGTCGTCGAATCGATTGATATTTGATTTGATCACTCATTCGATCTAATCAATCCAAAGTTTTCTCACCCAAATGATTAAATTCATTTTGGTCTGTACACATCTTATTGGTTTTTTTTTTTAGTGTGTTAATTTAACTAATTCGTTCACCCATTTGCATTTAAAGATTGACATCTTTTTTTTGTTTCCCAACGATTAAAAGGTCTTTGATCTCATCATTAACAAGCAACACAACTCAAGCAATAGTTGCTTGAAGGAGTGTAATATGGCAGCCTCTTCAATACTCATTCATATGCCAATAATCCAAGGAAATTAAAACATGCAACACAACTCAATTTGACAAGAAACATTGGCTAAAACATCTCTCAACTTGTAGATAAACCAAAACGCGATTAGCTACAAACCAAAGGTAATTGATCTGATTTAGACCCTCCCTTTCTGCCTACTTCTCTGAGGAGTTTGGTCCTCTCTTCTTGCCAAAACCAACAACTGAAGAACAACAAAGAAAGACAAAAAGCAAATGAGAATCGAATTTTTATTCATTCGTATTGCATGATTAACCAAGAAAACAAAAAATGTAGACTGATTGCTTCTAATAGGTTTTGCCTAAGAACTAAAAGAGGAATTGATGATCTACATCAGTAACTCTTATCTGCATCCTTGCGATTGAATTGAACCAATCTGAAGAAAGCAAAATGCAATTAATGGCTTCAATAATAAGCAGAGCAAAAGAAACAAGAATCCAAATAGTGAACCAGTAATGTCTATTCACAAATTCCACAATATTCAANTTAAGAGAGTGATCCATCTATTAGAAAACGGTAATCTAGAAGCATAGTTATCAAAAAATACGATCGCTCGATATAAGAATAATATAGCGGAAAATCAATGATTTACCGGCAGTGACGAATCGGCGATTGTGTTGCATCCTCTTGTGAGCACGACCACGAGGCTTCTTCTTCTTGTCCTGCTTAGCTACTTTTGGTGTCTGACCTCTCACCTTACCGGCACGAGCCAATGAACCGTGCACCTTCCCTGCGATTTCGATTCAAACAACAACATCAGTAACATTTTTGAACAATTTCGAAGCAGCATAAGGAAACATCAGAAGAAGAGGAGAATTACCCATTGTTGATTAAAGAGATTCTCGATTCTTCTTCTGGCTTCTGCTCTGCGAGGTTTTTGGATGCTGTCGATCCCTTTTTAGGGTTAGGGATTATACTGTCGTTTTTATATTTGAGTCGTTTAAAGAGCTATTATACGGGCCATATTAGATTTTAAATGGGCCTTAGAAAACCAATTATGTATCCAAACACCAAAACCTAGGTTTTAGATTTGGTTTAAATGGGATACGATGTTATTCACCGTCTGACTTTTTTAGATTTAGTTTGTGATTCCTTTCATTGGGGTTAGTTTGTGATTCCCTCATTGGGTTTAGTTTTTATGGGTGAAGTTTTTGGTTGATGTTTCTTTTTCCTCGTAGAAGATCTATAGTTTGTTAGTATTTAGTCAATCTTGGCTATCTATTTGATTTAAGTTTTGCAGTTCAAAATTGTTCAACGGCGGCTTCACTTAAGCCAACTCGGAACAAAATTGACAAAGACAATCAAAGAAGGAGATTTATCTAAAGTAAGAGAATTGTTGTCATATTATCGTAATAGATATTGGATGTTCGGCTGCTATTGTAGATTCGGGAACACCTACTCGTCTACCTTCGATTCGAAACAAGATTATCTTGGTATCGCTAATGTGTCGTCAACGATTATTGTCCTCACTTGATTTCTAGTGCAGAAAGGACCATTAGTTTTTCTTTGTATTGCATATGTTGAACTTCTTCAATGATATAATCTATTCTAAATCAATTTCAATAAAATAAAGCATTAAAAAAACATAGTCAACAAACTATGTAATCGCATAATATTGTCACTTTGAAAGTGTGAAAATTTTCAATGTTTAAAATATCAGTATATATCACTTTGAAAGATTTTTATGCGATTTTCTCAAATATATTATGCGGATAAATTCTAACATTATGTGCTAACATATTCTCTCTTTGATTACAAAAACGGGAAATATACAACTTTGATTACAAAAATGGGAGATATGCAAGAGAG